TTCCAGGGCTGCTCCCAGCAGAGGCCTGGCCTGGCCTGGCCTTGCCAAGGGTGTGGTTGGGCTGCTGGGCACAAATGCCACCAGCAGCGTTTTCTTTGGGGGTAGGGGGTGCCTCTCAGGCCAGCGGGGACTCCCCCTCTCAGGACAGGGCTGGGGAAAATGTGACTTCAGTCCTTGGTAGAGACTTTGCCAGCCCCAGGCGGGGTGGAGTGGAGGCATATCAGCCCCATTTCCTCAAGTGCCCTTGTTGGAGTTCAGCCTGGCTCTTTCACCATGCCCTTCATCCCTGGATGTGGTACATGAGTCCCGTGTAGACAAGTTTGCTGTCCTGTCTCTAGCTTATCACCTATGGGACCACCACAAGAGATCCTGGCAAACATGGAATAGAAAGCCCCCCTTTGCAGGAATAGGTATAACATGGTCCCTCATGCGAAGGGGACAATATGGCTGCTCAGGACAGGCAGCAGTGGGGGACAGGGGGCAGGCGGGGACCAGGAAAGGAGATGGCTGCAGCCTAGAAAATTATTAAATTGTTCCATCTCTGGTGAATCACCGCGGCCCTACTAAATCCGTTTTTTATTTAAAAGAGATCGTGTGACGCCTGATGTCCAGGCGCTATCTGTGGACGGGGAGGCATTCCCAGGCTTGCAGAGGTGGGCTCTGGGTATTTCTTGGATACAGAAGAGCCAGGGCCAGATGCTTCCGGGTCACCAACTATGCCCAGCCCTGAGTCAGTCCCGCTGAAGGTGCTAGGGGCAGGGACTCAATGGCCACTTACAGGTCTAGCTTCATCCAATAAGGAAACCTGGGATAGCCCAAGAGGGATGAGAGCCTGGCCTCAGGACTCGGGGAGGCTGGCTGAGTGAGTATGGAGTCAGCAGGCCAAGTGAGTAGGGATTCAGCAGGCTGGAGGCAAGGAAGATGGCAAGCTCTTGCTCCAGGCACAGGGCGCGGAGGCTCAGGAGCGCAGCCCTGGTGTGAGGCCAGGAACACGCAAGCAGGGGGAGGCCGAGGGGAGCAGGGATGCGATGAACTGGAAGCAGTGGGGAGACGAACTCAGAGGCTACTTTCCAGTTGCAGGCTTGGAGAGTCTGCCTGGCCTCACAAGAGGATGGTTTTGCACCCCTGCTCTGTCCGTCTGGAATGGGCCCATCTGGGTCAGCCAGAGCCAGGGCAGGCAGGTGGGGATGAAGGGCAGAAGAGAGCTGCCAAGCAGCCCTCTGGGAGGATTGCAGGCAGAATGAGGAGACTTGGTCAGTGAATGGATTTTCTTTGGCTGGGGATATGTGTATTTGGTTCTGACCACTCTCTGTCAGGCCCCTCAGGAACTGTGACCCATCTTCCCACACCCCTTACAGCTCTCTTCTGACTCAGGAAAATGCAACTACACTGTCAGCTAAACCTTACTCAATGCCATCGGTGTCCAAGTCCCCCTTCCCTCAGACCCCATCTTCCCAGAGGAAATAAAGACACTATACTCCCCAACCAGCGTGTAGGCCAGGGAGGGTCCCCCTCAGCCCTCAGCCTCGCACTCAGCAGAATCATCAAGCCTGTGACAAGCAGTCCAGCCTGGGGTCTTATCTCCACACAACCCAAGCTCTTCACCCTAAGGCAGCACCTGAGGCTCTGTCTGGCCTCCTCTGCTCCTGGGGCCAGAGACCAGTGTTCTTTCCCTGACTCCCATAGAGACCTACTCTGACTGTGCTGGGAACAGCAGCCCTTCTGGGCACATCTGGAAAAGTTGTTACCCAGACAAGACCACTGTTGCCAGCAGGTTCTGCGTAGACGCCAGCCCGCCCGGGGCTCAGATCTAAAGACAGAGAGCCCATCTTGTTTATCCTGGCAGGGACTGTGGGTCCAGGCCATGGAAGGCATATGGGAGCCTGAAATGGTATGGGGACACAGTGGGGGAGGAGCTGGCTCACAACCTGAGCCAGCGGTGCCTACTCCCTTGAGCTCTACCCTCTGTGCTATGCTGCCTTCCAGAGTTCAGTGAACCCTGGCCTTAGCAAGGCTCTATCCTTAGCCTTCTCTGCCTGGCCTGGACTGTGACAGACAAGAGGAGGTGGAGGATCTGAGCCTCCCTGAGTCCAGGGCTTCTTCCTTCCTATCTAAATGGTGAGGTGACTGCTCAGAAGTCCCTTAGTATCCTGGGAAGAGTGGGGGCGGGGACTGAGCTCCCCTTAGCGGTTCTGACCATGCCTATGTTCTGTGGGTCCCTCCTAGAGATGTCTTTTCCCACAGGGATGGGGTGGTTGTGGCAGGAGGGCAGAAGCCCTGGGGAAGGTGAGGACACTGTGGGTCCTGAGATTGGTGGAAACATTGATAGGTGACATTGATACATCCCTTACCAAGGCAAAGGTGCTTTGTCTAACCTGTTACCCTGGGACCCCCACTTCCTGCTCTGCCCCAGTGCAGGGTGATTGTCTGGTGGGCCTTTCCTCCCACCTCTCTCCCTCTCTCCCCCCCTGCCTGCCATGACCTCACATAGCTGGGGACACTTAACTTATGAGGATGCTGTGGCACAGTCCATGGATGACTCTCCACAGATTGCGTGCCATCTGTGCTAAGGTGGTACCTGGCCCCGGGGACTTACAAACACGTGCAGGGCCACATCACTTATCTTTAGATGCAGGACCTCTGCCTATGAACAGTGTCACACAGGCCAGAGCAGCCCCATGCTCCTGACTCTGGTCTCTGCCTGGCCATTCTGGCCTCTGAGGCAGAGCCAGCAAGTCTTCTTGCCTGGGTCCCTGTTGGCATCACATTTTAGCCCTGTACCAGGCAGAGAAGGTCACAGAGACAACTATGGGTCCTGCCAGGGACCAGGAAGCTGAGAGGAGGCAGAGGATGGCATCTCTACTTTGCGGGTATAGTCTGAAGGAGATACTTCAGAAGGGGAACAGCCCTATTACAAGCAAGCCAGGTCTGGGTGGGGGGCACAATCCTGCTGCAGGAGCCTGCTTAAAGGGGGAACAGGGCAGATCTAGAAACCTCTGTATAAGGGAACTCCCCCTGTTGGGAGCTCTGGTGAGTAGCCTCTGGAAATGACCAAAGAGCTTCCCTTGGGGCTCCATTGTGTCCAGGGTCCCAGTCTAGGACCAAGGGGCATGGAATGAGAGCCAGGGCCAACCAGAGTAGAAGATGAGGCCCAGGGGCCAGCCTCTCAGAGGGTTACTTCCAGCTACCCAGGCTGTCTGAGTAGATGCCCTGCATCTTCTTACCTCTGGCATCCTGCCTTGAGGCCTCTTTCTCTAGGCCTTCATGGCACTCAGGTATACACAGTGAGCCCTGTTGCCAGCTGGTCACTTACCAGCCAGCCAGTTAACAGCTGACCATCATGCAAACACCATGCTGGTCCCCAGCAGCTCATCTGAATGTCAGAGGCAGCACACGGGCAGAAGGTAGCCAGTGATGGCTGCGGTCATTCTCTGAAGGAGACCTAGGCCACAGTGGCACATGACACACATTCATTCTGCTCCACTCCCGAAAACACAGACCTCATATCTCACTGGGCCTCAGTTTCCTTTTTATAATGAGTGGAGACAACACCTTTGATAAGGAATGTAGTGGGCAGGGAGAAGGAGCAGAGGGGCTCTGATGGTCCTGGGTTCCTCTCGATGGGCAGAGAAGCCCCTTACCTGCTCAGCTCACCTTCTAGCACAGCAGACAGGTGGGCTGTACTCGGAGCTCCTAAAATCCAGACTTGCTCTGTCAATCGGCTGCCACTGGGTCTTTGTCCTGGGGTACCCAGGCTGGACTGAGGAAGTCTGAAGCACACTTTATGCCTCCTACTGCTGGCTCTCCACCCCCTTTTTTTGGTCTTGAACTCAGGTCTTGCTTGGGGTTTTCTGCTCAAGGCTGGTGTGCTACCACTTGTACCACACCCCCATCTTTTCTTGTTTTGTTGGCTAATTGGAGGTAAGAGTCTCACGGATTTTTCTGCCCAGGCTGGCTTTAAAAAAAAAAAAAGAAGGGGGTAACAATGTTTGACAAGAAATGTACTTCTTACCTTACTCATGTAACTGTAATCTTTACAATAAAATAAATACAAAAACAAAAACTTGCGATCCTTAGATTTCAGCCTCCTGCATAGGTAGGATTACAGGTGGGAGCCATCGGAGCCTGGTTCTGACCCCCGCCCCTCCTTACTTTTTTCGTTTTGTCTGTCACAGCCCTATCTCCCTGTCTCAGGGAGTCTCTTCTTTCCCTTAATTCTAGCATTGCTCAGTTTCTATTTCCACTGTCTTCATCCTGTCTCTGTCTCCTGTCCTCTTAGCCTGTGCCTTCCTCTTTCCCTTTCTCTTCTCTCTATCTCCCCACTGCCTGGAAACTCCATTGCCTTTGAGGGGAAAAACCCATCCCCATCTCCCTCGGCCTGCCCTCAAGTCACTGGTTTGAATTGTTCCCAAGACTGAGGGTTCCCAGAGTGAGGGCTCCCCACAACCTTGTTCATTTTGCTCAGACCTGCCCTGACCTCTGCATGTGGGGGTAAACAACCCCCTGATGCCCCTTTGGTCCCAAGAACTGAGGCCTGGCTGGTGGGGGGAGGGTCCTAAAGTGACAAACAGTTCTGGACCATGCATGCAGAGGCCCAGGCCACTTCTTGCGTCTCCAGAATTGCTCACAGAGGTTAATATGCTGCTCCAGGGTGGGCTGGAGATTCCAGGCAGGCCGATTGTGGTGCCTGATTCCAGGGAGGGCAACGTCCACCCAGAGTCCAGCCTGCCTGCTCCACCCCCTTCACAGCCAGCTCTGCTCGCTGGCACCCCAAGCCGGCACACTGGGCTAGGACACCTGGATTTCTCTACCCCCCTGAGTGGGGCCAGCTTGGAGGAATTTCCCAAAGCCTATTAGAGCAAAGTTGCCTCTTGCCTGCCTCTATGAGCTGGGCAGGGCTGAGGGCTGAGGGCTGAGGGTGGAGAGAGGGAGGGAAGGAGGGAGGGAGGGAGGGAGGGAGGGGAGAAGAGGAAGGAAAAAAGTTGGCAGCCACAGTAGAGCGGCGTCTGCATCCATCCAGAGGAGGCTCGTGCCGTGTGGGGCGGGCCAGGAGCAAGGAGAGGCCTTCCTCCCTTTGTGCTCCCCCCACCCCCCCAGCCCTATAAATAGGCCCAGCCCAGGCTGTGGTTCAGTCTTGGAGGGAGTTGAGCACCAAGCAGTGAGTTGTCTCCACCAGAGTCCCTGCCAGCATGGCCAGCGAGTTCAAGAAGAAGATCTTCTGGAGGGCCGTGGTGGCCGAGTTCCTGGCTATGACCCTCTTCGTCTTCATCAGCATCGGTTCTGCCCTGGGCTTCAATTACCCACTTGGCAGGAACCAGACGGCCGTCCAGGATAACGTGAAGGTGTCGCTGGCCTTCGGGCTGAGCATTGCCACGCTGGCTCAGAGTGTGGGCCACATCAGCGGTGCCCACCTCAACCCAGCAGTCACCCTGGGGTTGCTGCTCAGCTGTCAGATCAGCATCCTTCGGGCGGTCATGTACATCGTGGCCCAGTGTGTGGGGGCCATCGTCGGCACCGCCATCCTTTTGGGCATCACCTCTTCCCTGACCGCGAACTCGCTCGGCCGCAATGATGTGAGTAGTGCCCCAGGTTTGGGACTGATGGGGAGGGGCCTGGCCCAATCCTCTACCCACTGTGCAGATGGGGACACTGAGGAATGGGAGGATGAGGGGTGCAGGAGGGGGTCCTGTAGAGAGTTGGGGATGCTGAGGAACGGGAGGATGAGGGTTTGTGGAAGGTGGTCTGGTAGGGAATTGGGACTGGAACTCAGCTGTGCTGGAGCCACAGCCTGTTTTCTGCCAGGCACTGTGGGAAAGGGAGAACCAGAGGATAATGGTTCTGCCAATATCTTAGTCCTATGCCATCCTTGGGCTGGGCTCCTTCTGAGCCCCGCTACCTGCTGTTGCCAGCCTTGCCAGAACCCAGTACCCAGCACTGTAGCCAGTGCTGCAAGTCTTAGCAGGACTCCCTGTGAGTGTGTGTGTGTGAGTGTGTGTGTGTGTGAGTGTGTGTGTGTGTGTGTGTGTGTGTGTGTGTGTGGCGCTGTTAGGGCTCCAGCGCAGCTTCCAAAGCCACACAGAGAATCGGGGAGAGTCCTTCCTTCCTCCTTTGCCCCTGGGCATCAGATAAACATGGGAATCAATCCCTTTGGGGGCTGTTGATGACAGTCGAGGTAGAAAAGGGTGTGTCCCCAGGATCCTGGGCATGGAGGGGTGTGGCATGGGTGTTTGTGTGTGTGGAGGTGGAGGTGTGCACGTGTCTGCTGGCTCAGGTCTCCTGGGCTTGTGGGAAATGTATAGCGTTCGTGCTTTGGAGCTGGGGTGAGTGTGTAGCTGCCTGTGTCCATTGCTTGGCGCTTGAATGACATGCACACAGATGTTGATGACAGTCAGTTGCTGGAAGTAATCACCCGGCCCTGTTTAACACAGCTCAGTGGCTGTTAGGAGTGGTGGCCACACAGGCTTTCCAGCACAGACCAGGCTTTCTAGCTCCTCAGCCAAGTGCACTTGAGCCCAAGCTGGGGGGTAGGGGGGTGGGGGTGGGGAAACAGTCTGGCAGAGGCGCTGAGTGAGAACAGAAGGTGTCTCAGAGGCAAGCAAGCTGGGGGCACCCTCACTGGAGGCAGAGAGGAGGGACTAGAACCAGAACACGAAGTTGGCCAGGCCCTGGCAAGGCAGGAGGATATGGGGACAGTAAAGGAGCTGGCCAGGGCTCCACCTCAAGGACAGCACTGGGTGATTAGTCCTCTCGTTTCCAAAGTTCATGTTCTGGAGAAGGCCACCAGGAAGGCAAGGTGAAAGTCTGGCATGGGGGCAGAGGCAGATGAGCACTTCTGGGTCACCGTGACTCCTTTCCAGCCTGTCCCTAATCTGCTGCTGCTGACCAAGATTGAAGATTAGCTCTGCGTCTGGAGTTTAGACTTTAGCCAGGGAAGACGTGGCTGTGACAGGTGTAAGGAACAGAGCCAGGGAGGCTGTGTCTCCTGGATGCAGTCTTGCCAATGGGAACAGAGCTAGGTGGCATAGGGCAGCTGCAGGGGGTGGGGAGGTGGTGAAGCCAGGCTCACCCTGGGTGAGCCAGGCACGGGCCAGGCCTGAAGATCGGCTGGCAAAGACTTTGCTGTCTCTAGCGTGGCCATCAGCAAGGAAGGCAAGAAGCCTCTTTGGTGCCAGCTGCATCTGGCTACACCCTGCTCTAGCTCCCATCCCCTCTTTAACTGCCATTTGTCAGATTCACCCAAGTGTCTGGGCAGGGGCAGGGTACAGATGGAGGAAAGAGAAGGGCAGGCCAGAGTGGAACAGTGTTGGGCTGAGAGGAGGGTACCTGGGTTCAAATCCCACTGCTGCTAACTGGTTGAGCTTCCTTGCTGAAGATTTCAAGGTGCAAGGGGGGACCTGGGGCTGGGGATGGCTCTATTGCACCCACGCTGCCCGCTCTTTTTATTGGCTCACGCTTATCACCTGTGGCAGGAGGGCTTGGCTAGTAGCGGCAGTGCCAAGTAGAAGATGAGACCTCATGGTGGGGGCTCAGTGTTGACCCTCCATAGCACAGATGTCTGGGATTCCTGAATGCAATCTGGGCTCCCTCAGATGTTGGTGCTGGGGTCTGGAGGGGCCTGAGGGTGGAAGGAGCAGGGGACGTTCTCTTTCCTCCTGTTACTCTGCTCCTTGCCCGACCCTGACCAAAACCTGGGTGGGGCAAATTGTTGGCATGGAGATTTCCAAAGAAACGAGGGGACTAAGTGGCAGGAAGTGGTTGGAGTGAGTCAGGGGGTGTCCCCTGGGGACACAATGGGGACAACTTTCTCCTGACTGAGTCAGGGCTCTGGGTACGCCCTAGAGAGACCACAGCACTTAGGGGCCAGGATGAGTCTAAGAGATGGACTTGAATCTTGACCAGGCGAAGGCGCTGAAGCTGGGGTGAAGACCCTGGCCTGTCTCTGCCTGGGCTCAGTGGCTACCACTTTGGGTGACTCCACTCCCAGGCTGAGGTGTTCCTAAAATCCATCTGCGAAGGGGACAGAAGAGTAGGGCTGGTTCTGCGAAGTGGAAGATGTCAGGGCCTTTGCTGTCTAATGTTATTCTTACACTCTCTGGCTGCACTCTTGTGGACATGGCTGTGCTGTTGCGTCCTGAGTACAGGCTGGGCTGGACAGGGCTGGACAGCTGGGCTCTCTGCCCCGGGAAACTCACAGCCTCTGGCCTAGATAAGCCTTGTGTACAGCTGCCTGTGATATGGGACAGGAGGCAGGTGTGATAATGAGGTATCAGGCAGGCTGGGGACTTTTGAGCTGGAAGGGTTGGAGGACCAGGAGGGGTTCAGGGAGGAAATGTCATGTGCTCAAAGTGTGGAGACCCTCAGAGAGAGGAGGGGAGAGAATCTGTGCACGCCCAGGCAGAGGGGCTGGCACCAAAGCCTGGGGGTCATTAGTGTGGTCGGGCTGGGGCCTGGGGCAGGCTGGGCTCTGAAAGAGGGTGGGGGCTCAGAGTTTGGCCAGATCTGACTGGTCTAGGGGACTGTGTTTCCAGAGTTTGTGAATTTAGCCTTCTGGGGAGCTGTGGCAGAGGGTGGTCCTCTTTGGGGTCCTCTTCATCCTGCTGATTCAGGGGCTAAGTACTTGGAGAACACTCCTGCCTGCTGCTAACCATAGCCCTAAATACTCCCTCTTTCCATTTCCTGAGCTTCAGTTTCCCCAGCCAAGAACTGCCAGGGCCCCGGGGCTACTCCTTGCTCCACCACTGAGGCTCCTGGCCCCTGCTCCAGAGCTTGGGGTAGGTTGGGAAAAGGGAGGTCAGAACTGACCAGCTCAGCCTGTCCTGACCAGGGAGGGGGCTGGGGGCTGAGTGGCGATGGCTGAGACGTGTAATTATTGTTTCCAGCCAGAGAACAAGGATAGGGAAGACATGAAGAGGTGGAGCCCCGTGGTGACTTCCCTCACCATGGAAAATTCTCCCACAAGCCCTTGAGCAGTCCACTTGGCATTGCCCACCCCAGCCTGCTGCCCACCTACCCCCAGCCTGCTGTCCTCCAGGCCTTCTGTCCCCCTGCCTGCTGTCCCCTGCCCTCAGTTTATTTTTTGTCTCTTCAATGAGTGTGTGCATGCATGCATGTGCATGTGCGCGCACACACACACACACAAATATAGCACGTGCATGGCACATAGCACATTCTTAAGACCCACTCGCCTATATTCAGGCCCTGGGCTCCAGGAGGATGGGGTCCTCAGTGGAACCTCTTCCTTTCCCTGCCTGAGTAAGGGGAAGGAGTCAAGAAGAAAGATGCCATTGCTTTGTGTAGTTCTTGTTGGGAAGATAAGAAGACTTCTGGGAGCAAATAAAAGGCCTTTGGGACCCACTTCTCACTTAAGGGGGGCTCCTCCCCGCCCCCTTCCTCCACTTTCCAACTAATGGTAACCCCTGTGTCAGTGTGACACACTCAGCACAGACACAGCAGTATAAACAGCACAACCATTGGGACCTCCTGGTGGCAGAGACCCCCCCTTTCCCTCCCCAACAGAGCATGCTGGGAGACAGTCAAGTCAGCCATGTTCCCAGATACTTGGCCGACACCTGACTGGGCTCTCTAAATGTCCTCCTGGGTTTAAAAAGTGATACACTAATTTGGAGACACAATATTTCCCCTATTTTCCTTAAACCAAACTTAACTTCAAGGTTAAATTCTTCTCTGTTGGTGCTGTTGGCATTTTTTGTTCTTGTTGTTGTTGTTTTTTGTTTTTGTTTTTAAAATAGGTTGAGAGGAAGGGTTAACGTGTTTTTTTTTTTTTCCCCTGTGGAAGTAGACTGACATGGTTATCCTTGTAATTGTGTCTGTTTTTACATTATGCATTTTAGGTTAGAGTGCTTAGGGCTTACAGGTTGAGGATTTTTATAATTCTTTGATAGAGTTTTTTTAGCTTAGTTGTTCTGTAATAAACCTCTTAAAGTCTAACTAAAAAGAGAGCGAGCCACCCCTAGACACATGTGATCACCATGGATACAGGAGACACTGTCTACAAAGCCACAGGGGAAGCCAAACCCATGGGACACTGTGTGCACATGTGAACAGAGAGGGTAACCCAGTGGGCCCCCACCACCCTGTGCCAAGTGCTGGAGACACTAGGGGTGAAGGTGAAGCCTCATGCCTCACATCCCCTGCTCCTCAGGAGGAGATGCTCAGAGTCTCAGCCAGGGCTAGGTGCTCTGCTGACACAGGGTACCCAGGCCATGTTGAGGGCCCTAGGCCACAGAAGCAACTCTGTTGGCCTGGCTGAGGGGATCAGAAATCATGGCATGGAACAGTCAGTCCTGGCCTGTTCTGGAACTGTGATATGCCTGCAGTCGCAGAAATACCTCTGCCAGCGACCCCAGTCTAAGCTGAGAACAGCTAGGTTTCTTGGGAGTGAACATGTTGGCCTGGAGTATGTGGTACTGGCCAGGAGTGTGTAGCGTTGGCCTGGAGCATGCAGTGTTACCTTGGGACAACAGTTCTGGCTGTGCTGCCTCCTCCCTGGGCCTCTGCCTCCCGCTGGCCTCTCACTGTACTTCTGTGGACCAAAGGCTAGTGTTTGACCTTTCCAGCTAGGACGCAAATACAGGGGTGATGTGTCCTAAGAGCTTCTCTGGGGCCAGGCTGCCTTGAGAGAGGATGAATTTCTAGAAAATTAGCATTTGCTGCCATTCTGTACTATAGAGAGCTTTGGGCAGGAGCTGGGAACAGTTCCCCGGCCAGAGGCTGCCCATAGCAGTGGTCAGTGAAAGGCTAGAACTGAACAAGGCCTGAGGCAGTAAGCATACCTGGCTAGGATAGGCAGGGAGTTTATGGCTTGCTGGTGCTTTAGAAGAATCCTGTGGGCTCTTCTGTTGCTTATACTTACATTTGATTATTGATTATTTTCACTCTGATCAGTGAAACTGAGGACCTGGGCCAAACAAGACTATGTTGGAATGTGCAATTACTTTTCCAACAAATGACCACACCTGGGATTGGCTCTATTAAAGCACTTGTTTTAGATTTCATGGGCTGCACAGAGCCACATAAGGCTTGATGTTTTACTCGCTCTTTCCTGGGTATTCACTTTCAGTAGGCCTTTAACTTCTTCTTATAGCTCTGAACTGTCAAGTTTCCAGGCTGAAAGTAATGTAGATCCCTCAGGTAGAGGAAGAAAGATGTCCGGGAAGGCAGTGGTGGAAGAGGCAACAGAGTAGGGAGGCTGCAGTCTGTGGCTTCTGGCTGTCAGACAGGGGTACCTTCTGGGGTCCCTAGGTCATAGGGAACTCCAAGCTTCTTCCATTGGGCTTGGAACCATGAAAAGTGGAGCCCTGGGGGAGGGACTGGGACTCAGACATAGTTACAAAGCAGAGGAAGAGATGAGCTTGTCCCTGGCTGCATCTGGGTGAAATGTGTGTGTGTGTGTGTGTGTGTGTGTGTGTGTGTGTGTGTGTGTGTGTGTACGCGCGCGCACGCACACACGCGCGTGCCAGTGTCCATTAATCAGCAATGAGGGCCTGGCTTCAGGGATCCTGCCAGCTAGCAATTAGGCCAAGCCTAGAGAGCAGAGGATTTTCCACAGAGGCTCCCTGCCTCTCAGACTGAGTGTATCCGTCACAGCTTCCCCCTCACTTGGTGTGCCAGCCTCTGCCAGCAGTGCAGCGGCACTAACTCCTACCTCCACACCTTTGAGCCTTTGTCCTGCCTGTCCCCAAATCCATCGGAAGCAACAGAACAGAATAAGAGCTATGACCATCACCCACTCTCCAAACATCCAGCATGGCTCCACAGCCTTTGAACCTCTCAGCTGCTCTAGAGAAAACATCAGATCCACTTTGAAGATGGAGAAACTGAGGCCCAGAGAGGGACAGGTCACATCCAAATTACCTATACGTAGAAGAGTCAGGATCTGCACACAGGGCTTCTGCCTCCACTGCCCAACCTTGGGGTGGAAAGAAAACTGGGCCTTGCCCAGAGGGCGGGGTTAGCCAGAGGGGAGGCAGCTCTGGGGTCGCCAGGAAAGGGCCTGAGCTGGATTGCAGGGCAGGAGAGGGGATGTGAGTCACTCCCTGTAAACCAGGACTACAGACAAAGGCGGGAAGAGGGGAAGAGGATTGTTCTCCTGAGGTGCTGGGCAGGGGTGGGAAACCCGTGGGGGAGCAGAAGATTGCCCCCTACCCAGGATTGTTTAGAAGTGACTCCCCAGTATCTTCAGGATTGAGGTAGGGGTTTGAGATCTAGACACGCTGCCTCAGAGAGGGCTGATGTGGTTCAGCTCCTTTGTGGGGTGCACCTGATCCAGGACCCCCACGGAGGAGAGTGTAGGGCCCTCTGGGGAGGGGTCTTCCTGGGGCGGCCGCAGGGGGAGGGCGTGGAACCTTCTGGCAGCTCCCATTCCCTTCTTTTTCCATGAGTCATGTTTCTAAAAGTGGCTCAACAGTGGTGGCCGCCAGACTGCAGTAGGGGGGCCCGTGCGGCCGAGAAAGAGGGCAGGGCCCGCAAGGAGAGAGGAGGGACAGGGAGGACAAGGCCAGAGAAAATGGGAGAGAGCCACCAGACCAAGGAGAGAGAAGACAGAGGGAGAGATGGAGGGCAAGGACAGGGGAGAGCACAAAGGAGCAGCCAATCACTGAGAGGTCTCCCTTCCCTCCAGCAGGAGAGACTCAGGTGCAACAGGGCAGGGATAGAACAAAGCAATGTCCCCAGCTGGCTTGCTTCTACTCTTCTATGAGAGACCACCCTCCAGGCTTGGGGTTTACCCTCACCTTTGGCCTTGGGTACCCCAGACCTAGATGTAGCTGAAATGGAGGCCCCACCTCTGATCCAGGTGAAGCAGGGTGGAAGCAGGTACTGGATGCTGAGCGAAAGCATCAACAGCAGGTGCGGGAGGGGGCGCAGCTTGTTTGGCACCACCCAGGGTGTAGGTCTGAGCAGACCAGCCCTCTAGGCTCAGTGATAGGCTGTAAGGGCAAGCGTGTGACTTTGGTGCCTGGGGGTCTTGAAGCCCAGCTGTGACCTGTCCTGCTCAAAGGCCTTATCCTCTCCCTCCCCTGCAGCTGGCCCCTGGGGTGAACTCTGGCCAGGGCCTGGGCATTGAGATCATTGGCACCCTGCAACTGGTGCTCTGCGTGCTGGCTACCACTGACCGCAGGCGCCGTGACCTTGGGGGCTCGGCTCCCCTGGCCATCGGTTTCTCTGTGGCCCTGGGACACCTGCTAGCGGTGAGTAAGGCCTTCCCAGACGGGGCAGTGGGGAGGACAGGGCTGGGTATCACGGGCTGGTGGGGAGGCCCTGGGCTGAAGAGGAGGGGACAGCTCTGAGGGCCCGGAAGGAGACAGAGTTCTCTGGGTCTTGTCCCTCTCCTGGGGCTGGTGGACCCCCTTCTTGCTCCAATTCCCTGTTTGTTTCTTCACCACCCCTCACCCCTTGTCACTTTCTCTTTCCCTGTTCCCTCCCCACACAACAGATCGACTACACTGGCTGTGGCATCAACCCCGCTCGATCCTTTGGCTCTGCAGTACTCACCCACAACTTCAACAACCACTGGGTAAGACCATAGGGCCCGTGGAGGCGAGCAGGGCGTGGCAGTAGGCAGTGTGAAGAGTAGATTTAGGTCCAGCCTCTGCCCTTGCAGCTCAGACCTGCTGACTCCACCTGGCTGCCTGACCCCCATGTCATTCTTCCTCTCTGGTGGAGAGCATGGTTCAAATCCCAGCTCTGTCACCTTCTGATTCAACAACCTTGGGTAGGCTCCTTGGTGTCTCAGTTTCCCCAAGTGGGAAGTAGGCCTAAGGGAGCTCTCCTTGAGAGTGGCCAGGTGGGGAAAGGACTCTCAGTCTAAAGTATAGCTCAGTGCAGTGGCAAAGCCCCGTGGGTTTCAGATCTAATGATAGTTGGCATGTGTGCTCTAGGCCAATTAAACCATTCCTAGGGCCCTGGGAAAGGCGGGGCAGGGAGTGGCCAGTGACAGGTCTCCTGTCCAGGAGATGCTGGGGGGTGCACAGGAATCAGGAAGTCAAGGTTTAGCCCTTCTTGCCTCTGCCCCAGGCTCAGGTGAGCAAGAGTGGTCTGGGGGTAGCAACTGAGGGTCATCCAGGAGGGTTCCCCAAGGTAGGAAGATGAACTCAAAGCACACCAACTCTCTCCTAGATTTTCTGGGTGGGACCGTTCATCGGCGGTGCCCTAGCAGTGCTGATTTACGACTTCATCCTGGCTCCACGTAGCAGCGACCTCACAGACCGCATGAAGGTGTGGACCAGTGGCCAGGTGGAGGAGTACGACCTTGATGCCGACGACATCAACTCCCGGGTGGAGATGAAGCCTAAATAGAGAGAGCCTGGCCTGGGCATCAGTAGGGGGTGGGCAGGGATGGGTGGAGGGAGGGAGGGAGGGCTCTGAAATCATGTTATTATAGACACTCTGACAAGTGGGCTGACATTACCCCCAGAGAGCTGTCAGACCTGTGTGGTCCAGGTCCAACCTCATCAGGGGCAGTTCTGTCTCTTTCTTTCTCTCTTTCCTGGTCTCAGAGCTTTAGCAACTCACTCCCTTGGCCATATGGAAGAGTTAGAAGGGAAGGACCACTGCGAGTTGTCCCCTCAGAGTGTGATAGGAGGAGTACCACCAAGTCCTGCTCATCCCAAAGTTGCTCACCACCTTGCCTGCCACAGGTGCCTAGGGTGCTGCCATTATTGCTTTGTGCCTTGGACCACACCCCCTTCTCCTAACAGGGACCCTGACCCGTCCCCCCACAAGGGTGCTTTGAGTGGGAAGGGGTCCCAGGAGGGGCAGTGGGAAAAAGCAAGTTGCAGGTGAGCTTTGCCTTTTCGGTGTGAATTCCATCTCCTGCTTGGACTTTGGTACATGACCTAGTAACTGTCCCCATCTCAGGGCCTCAGAGACCCCATCTGAAAAGTGTCAGGGGAGGGGAGAGTTATGTGGATTTGGAAGGTGTAGACACAATGCAGTTATAGAAGGGTCTATCCAGACCAACACAACTTCATTCCTTTCCCAAGGACAGAGATGGCCTACCCATCTGCATGCCCACATGTGTGCGGGCTGAGCTTCCAAGCCGAAAGGTGGTCTGGGTTAGCGGGTGCCGTTCCCATGGCTGGCTTCCCAGACAGTCTGTGTCACAGTAGGAAGGACATGCTCACAGAGAGAGAACCAGACTCTAATTGGGCAGTCTTTCCATCCATCATGGCATGGCCTTGCTTGTTATTCAGCTCTCTACTTCCCCTTGCCAGTGTGGACCAGGATGCCATTGTGTGGTATGTGTTTATTAAAGCCCCAAGCCTGAGGAGAGAACGTACCAAATGTGTAGCAGATGCCCTCTATGGGAGCTGGGGTTTCTGAGCAGGGAAGGAGCAGTTCTGGCCCCCTCATGAGCTCTTTGTTGGAGGCCTTGGGGTAGTCATGTGACTGCCCAGGCTCACTGAGGGACCCCAGGTTCCCCATTGACCTGGAGGAGAGACATGACCCTTGACCTGATGACATAGCTCCTGCTGCACTCAAGGATAGTTCAGAGCACAGAGTTCACTTGGGCACTGCCATCTCCTGCTGGGTTCTCTACCTAAGTCCTAGCAGCTGCACCACTGTGCTCTTAGCTCTGGTGCCAGCCCAAATGGAGACACAGTTATGCAGGCCTGAAGAGCAGCAGGGTGGCCAGGGTGCTTAGGTTGTCACTAGCACATCGTATCTGCACACCATCCTCTATTCTCTAGCAGGACCTCTAACCCCTTTAACAAATAGGGAAAGAGAGCTCCGGGTCCCACTGCTATGGAATAAATCTGGCCATCTAACACCACAACCATGTTTAAGCACTCCCTGGACCACAAGATGCCTCTCATTCCCAGATTTGCAGTTCTGTCTGGGCAATGGCCAAGGCCGGGGGGTGAGGGGCTGTGCTGGGGGTGGGGAGGGCAGACCCACCTGTGCCTGGTCTGGCATCTGGACCCCTGCATCTGTCTGTTCTGTGTATATGTCTCTTTGGAATTGGAATTTCATCATATGTTAAGAAAATAAAGAAAATGACTTGTTGGGTCCTTCTGGCCTCTTGTTGTCTTTTTTCTTGAGACACACATCATCCCTAGGGCTCCCCTGGTCTGTGCAGAGATTGGCCCCACCTCTAGGGACCCAGTCTGGGGCCACAGCCTGTCCTCTGACCCCGGGATCTTGGCCTCAGGAGATGGGCACAGCTATACAACAGGACCTTTTGCAGGGGATGGGGTGGGTGGACACAGGGTGGATGTGGAGGCCTGGGGGAACAGAGCTTCTGGACAACTTATGGAGTTGTGAAAACCATATCCGATGCTGGAGAAAGCTGAACTAAAGTCAAACAGTGCTGTTAGACCCATGTGCCATCCTCGGAGCAGGGCTAGGATCCACTGGCCAGCCAGGCTCCCACCTTCCTCTCTGCAGACCCCTGTACCAGGGATGGTGTCTGGGGCCTACAAGGGCTTGGGTTGGAGGAACATATGTGGCCATTGGTGGCTTGGGTCACATGATGCAGGGGGCCAGAACTCATGAGAATGACCTAGGTCCTGGACATTGACCTCCATGTGAGGGATGTGTGTGTTCTGTAAACTGCCTGTCACACTGGGGACTGGTGTCTGGAAATGGGTCAGGTCAGGGTCAGGCTTGGGTTCAGAGTCTGGGAGGTACTAGGGGCCATCAACCTCCTGGAAATCTGTCTAGCAGACTAGAAGTCCACCATGGGCATGAACTGAACACGGAAGTGTGAAGGAAGGGCTGGCCCCTCCTAGACTGCCCCTGATAGACACCTGGTGTCCACCCCAAAACTGCCCCTGAGAGATACCCAGTGTCCACCCCCAAAACTTCCCCCAAGAGACACCCAGTGTCCATCCCAAAACTGTCCCTGAGTGACACCCAATGTCTACCCCAAACAGCTCTTGAGAAATATCTGGTGTCCACCCCCAAACTACCCCCTGAGAGACACCCAGTGTCCACCCTAAAACCACTCCTGGGAGATACCCAATGTCTCTGCCATGCTCTGTGGAGGGCTTGGCAGCTGGTGACACAGGGAGGGGATTCAGGCGGGTCAGGCGGGTCACCAGGAAAGGACTGGTGAGTGCTGTGAAGGAGGCTTTCTTCCTGAAGAATTCATGGGATAAGTGGGAAGCTCAGCTCATGGAAACTCCCCAGATGGAGGACTTGTGGGTATGAAGGGAGAGGGAAAGCCAACCTAGGGGATCCTGCAAAGACTGGCTGTGGAGGTCTGCTAACTATGAGAGAGTGCTGTTGGTAAGGTGTACCTCCTTTGAGGTGCGTCTCCACTGAGGTATATTTCTTGTGAAGTATGTCTCTTGTGGGGTGTGCCTCCTGTGAGGTGTATCTCCTGTAAGGTAAACATTCTATGAGGTGTACCTTCCCTGAGGTGTACCTCCTGCAATGTGTATCTCCTCTGGTGTGTACCTGCTGCAAGATGTGCATTGTGTGAGGTGTATCTCCTGTGAGGGGTCTCTTATGGGGTGTGCCTCTTGCGAGGTTTATCTCCTGTGGGGTGTGTGTCCTGTGAGGTATGCCTCAGGTGTCAAATCTGTGAGGCGTACCTCCTGGGAGGTGTGGGAGTCTCTTGCACAGTCCCTCTTGGCTTGTCTTTCAAGGTCTCATCCTCCTATACTTAATCCTTCCCTGTTCCTCCTCGGGGCCCAGCTACCTCTACCTCATCGTCTGCTCATTTATTTCCATGTCTTCCCACTTCTGCTCCATTCTACAGCAGTTTTCTGCTATAATCAGTGACTTCTAGAATCTATAACAGAGGTACTGCCTGAAGGAGCTGGGTGTCTAGTTCAGCTGCTATGTGAGAGGAACCTTTCTGTGACTCATCACACAATCTATTTTTTTTCTTTTTGATGGTGCAGGCCTTTGAACTCCAGACCTCATACTTTTGAGGCATGTGGTCTACCACTTAAACCATGTACCCAACTCTTTGTACTTTTGTTATTTTTCAAACAGTGTCTCACTTTTTTTCCCAAGCTAGGCCTAGATCATGAGCTTCCTATTGATGCTGCCCATGTAGCTGAGATGTCAGGTGTTTATTATTATTATTATTGGTCCAGTCGTGAGGCCTGAACTCTGGGCCTGGGCGCTGTCCCTCAGCTCTTCAGCTCAAGGCTAGCACTCTACCACTTGAGCCACAGTGCCACTTCCGGCTTTTTTCTTTTTGCTTATGTGGTGCTGAGGAATCGAACCCAGGGCCTCATGCATGCAAGGCAAGCGCTCTACCACTGAGCCACCTTCCCAGCCCCAGGTGTTTATTATTGTAGCCAGATTTTGCTGGCTTAGATGGGGTCTTAGGGACTTTTGGCCTGATTGGCTTCATACTATGATCCTTCTGATTTCAGCTCTGTGAGTAACTGTGATTATAGGTGTAAGCCACTGGCTTCATTCTCTCTAATCTTCACAGCAACAGAGGCAGATAGCAATGTCTCATTTATGGAGGATGCCAAGGTCCCAAAAGATGAAATGATTTGCCCAAGGCTGCCCAGAAGATAGATGGTAGAATTGTGATTTGAAACTGCTTTGTCTGACTTCAAAGACCACAATCTTTGTGTACAGGATACAGGCTTCTTTTTTTTATAAAAAACATATTTTATTGTACAGATACTGTACGGAGGGGTTACAGTTACATGAGTAATGAGTGCATTTCTTGTTAAGCATTGTTACCCGCTCCTTTGTTGTTCTCCCACTGTCCCTTTCCTCCCCTTCTCCCCCCGCCAGTGGTAAAGTTCTTGTGAGTATCATTGTTGCACGCTTGTTTTGTGGCAGTCCTCCTACCCTTTGCTAAGTTGGCTGGACCAGCTTAGAAGCTAGGCAGTGCAACACACATAGCAACCCTGAAGTGTGTAGAGGAGGAGAACGAGGAAGAGGGGAGAAGCTCTGACCCAGGAGCAACTGCCATCATTCTGGGACTTGCTGGTTGTGGCGTGAGCCACAGACATGTGGGCACCACTAGACTGAGGCTGCTTCCCTGCCATTGGTCATCCTGCTGGGTGGAAGATAGACTTGTTGGGTCACCAGGTCATAGCAGAAGGGGAAGGGCAGTGCTGCACTATGAGGAATAATGATGTTCCAAGACAGGCTCAGGCGCCCTTAGGGCTGGTCATACAGACTCCTCCAGCCTGCGACTTTGTGCTCCAGGCCTGTGTCTCTCAGGATGCTCATGCCTCACCAGTACAGGAGAAAGGTTTGCAGGGTGGGGTAGCACTCCTGGAGTAACCTGAACCCCTGTCTCTCTTTTGTCCAGGTGATTGTAATGAAGGTAGAAACTTTTCTGCAAGCATTCAGGGCTCAGCCTTTGTGGTCAGGGTCCTAGACAGTCAGGAGATTGTCTCGTGAGACACCTGCGGTCTCTACCCTCTGATTGGGTAACTTCTTCCATTAGATTCTCTTGTGGCCTTGCTTGCAGGGATGGCTTGGCAGCTGGAAGGTGGTGACTTCTGTACTTGGTCTACCAGGAAGCAGGATGTAATTTAGCTGCCATGCAATCCTAGAATGGTTTTCTTTCCATTAAACTCATGAGAGCAAAAAGCTGTGGCTCTGTAATTGCTCCACCTGTTCCGCGCCCCGTTCCCCTTGCCGATTTTCTAAAATCGTTCAGACAGAACAGGAGCTCAGTCCTGTGGCGAACATTCCTATGAGCTTGACATTGGGTTTCCACAATCATGGGGTCAACCTGATTGGGTTCACCATATTTGGTAGTCTGGAATTCCGTAGGCCCCTGTGTTCTCTCGGAAGGTTTCATTATCTCCATCTAGACCGAGGGAATTTCTTTTTGAGGGGTCTATAGGAGGAGAACTGAACTCGGAATTTGCCAAGTGGTTAATCAAACACTGAGTGAAGCATGTCTGGGGGTCTGCAGTCCAAACTCCAGCCTGACCTCAGCACCATTACCCTCTTCCAGCCACTGTGGACTCAGGGGCCCAGATGGAAGGTGTGTGTGGCTGGGGTAGCCTCCTCCCATGACTCCAAGACCATGGGGACTTGGGGGATTTGGAAGCCACATGAAGGGTTCTTCCATTTTGGGGTTCCCAGCAGGCCCCCAGCATCCTTGGAACCACAGTGGTCTGGAAAAGCACTGGAGGAACTGGTGATGGGCCCGCCCTAGGCATGGCCAGGCCTCAGTGGCCCTTTGGGATTTTCCATGGCCCGGTACAGCAACACCTTCCCTGGTCAGAAGCTGCTCAGGAGTGGACAGTGATTAATGTTTTATGGACGAGCTGCTGGGCGGGTGCCTTGTTTTCTCTAGGCTTAGAATACAATGAGGACGATGCCTGGAATTTACTGCCAAGCAGGGGGCCAGGGTGAGGGCATTCCTGGGAGCTGAGGACTCAAAGGTGGTACTATTTACTGTCTTGGGTGCCCCAAAGGGTGACCATCCTGTAGGTAGGAAGGACAGGTGGAGGCCTTGCCTCCGGTGTCACTTTCACTAGCATCCAGTGGCCATCAGTCCCCGCTTGTACCTATGGCCCACTGTGCAGAGGGACCCATGCAAACGTCACAGGTAGAGGTCATAGACGGTTCCAATGAGCTTGTCCTGCCCAGGTGATTCGACCTCATTCCCCAAAGCATTCTCTACATGTAGAATCTCACTTGGTTCTGCTGTTTTCAGCATGTTGATTGGGCTTGGGGTGAGGGGACAATATTGATTGGGCCCGGGAAGAGTCAGTAGGCACAGGCCAAGTCAGCCTTGGTGGATCCTAAAATACTGGAATTCTTCCGGGTGGCAGAGAGCATTTTATTCCCATAAGAGAGCTGTCCATCCTATAAGGGCCAGGTGCAAAAAAGGTGTGTGTGCATGGGTGACTGTGTGCATACATGTATGTGAATGTGTGTGTACTACTTGTGCATGAATATGTGCATGAGAATACCCATGTGTATGCTCGTGTGTGTGTGTGTGGGGGGGAATGGCAGGGTTTGCCATTCATGCTATCACTCCTGTGTGGGTCCTCTGACTGTCCTGAGAAACTTCCAGGTGATTCTCTCTCTCCTGGCTTGAGGTGCACTGACTTGGGGTCTGGGG